TGTCCTGTTCAGTTTGAGAGGGAGGGCCCGAAAATGAGAAGGAAGACCGGAGGTCTGCTGTAATTGATTTGCATAAAAAACAATATGTTTCATTGCCCTATGAAGCTATTTATCAGAGTTATTGACCTCACAATATGCCATATTAAAGTAATTTACATAACATACATTACTATGAAGAGGCAGCCGCGGAGATGGACAGAGCATGGGTGCTGAAAGTAGGCTAATTCGAGAAGGCCTAATTAATTTAAACAGTCTTCATTTTAATTTGACATTAGGCTACTAACAAGAAGGCTTTGTGTTCGAGAATATTTCTTCCTATTCAAGAAATAAGAGGTACATTGTAAGACTTTTCTGTAATTTCAACAGTAAAACACTGTAGAATGCACAGTAAAATACCTTAAATGTGTTTTACAGCATTAATGCTGTAGATTGCACTGCTTTATGGGTAAAATGCTGAAAAATACTGTTATTAACTGTAATTGTAAGTCTCCTATAAAAATTACTCTAATTTACTGTATTTCTTTACAGTAGTACCCGAATGCTGCTGTAGTTTTTGTGGCGCCAAACAGACTGTGATGTGTGTGTGAGAGAGAAAGAGCTGTATCGCATAGTTGAAACAAAGACTGTTCTCAGGGCAGGTCTGCCGGTTTTGACTAGCAGCAGTGACTTTTCGTAGCAGGTTAAGAGAATTAAAGCAGCATGTTAGGATAATTAACGGTTAGGGAACGCTAAAATGCAAAAATTGTCCCCGATGCGACTCGAACATATCTAAAACCAGGCCTGCCCTGAGAACAGTCTTGATTTCCACTAATGCGATGATCCGCGCCAAACGGTCTGTGAGGGAAGACACATGAGAAAATAAGCTTTCTGTTCTACTCAAGCTTTTTTATATTTTATTTCGGGGAAAAGTCGCCAAAATATTTTTGAGCAGCTGCTAGGTATATACTAAATCCATATACTACATACTTCCATATACCTACTGCAGGTTTTCTAACTAAGCTACTAGCTAGCTGGCTTGTTTGGATTGAGTTGTTAGCTAGCCAGGTTGACATGTCGGTCTGTTGCGTTGATCTTTCTTGCTGGTAAAATAATCAGTGATATTGTAGAGCAAATAATTTTTGTATTAACAACGTGCAGAAATCCATATGTGTGTTTCTTAGGATAGGCTACTTAACCGGTGGGTGCATGACATGGGTGGCATGGTGCTAACGCTATGGTATTAGTGGTGGCAAAGTGGTCGTAGGCTACACCGGACAAAAATACTGTCCGTCTAGGGAGGGAGCAAGAGTTTAGCTAGGTCAAATGCACCTTTAGTTTGTCAGCAGGCACGGACTGACATTTTGCCTAGGATGTATAATTTTTGGGGGATTCTGTAGTTGGAATGAGAGGCATCTTAGATGAAAGGGGAATGGTGCTTGCTAATGTTAGCTATAGCTCAGAGATGGGGAACTCCATTGGACACCTTTCTCTAAATATCTATGGTTACTGTAGCTCTATTCAGTCTGGGGGTGCGTGTGACTTAGCAGAAATGTAGTGGAATATTCCCCATGTTATTGTTATCCTTATTAATCCATTAAATTCATTATTTCAGCAACAACAGGCACAGACTGATATTTTGCCCTGCAGGATATTAAAGTTATATTTTATTTTTATTTTCTTCAGATTGTGTGGTTAGCTCGCTAGCATTATTCAGGGTGATGGTCGTGGCATTTTCCCGCGTGAGTTGAATTTTTTCCTCTGCTTTTGCTAATCTCCTCTAGGCTCAGGTAAGAAAAAACACAAAATCCTGGCGGTATACATACTTCCAGCTACCAGCCAGCCTGCAATACATGACACTTCAAGTTCCTTGGCGTACACATCACTGACAAACTGAAATGGTCCACCCACGCAGACAGTGTGTCAGTGTATTTTCTAGCGATCTGTCCCTCGACAAACATGCGTAGCCGGCGAAAAGATGAAGAAAGATTATTAGCTCATTTTGATTGTACAATGTTGTGGCATAAGTGTCAGGAGAAGAAAAGTTTTACTCCTCTCGGAAGTGAAAACAATATATGGGGTAATCAAATACCTTTCTGTGTCTGCAAATAATGCAGGCAGCAGTAGCCAGCCATGCAGGGCTATACGCTGACCTTTTTTACAAGGAGTACGTGTGCGCCTACGTTGAAAGGCATGAATACATTTAGAAGCACAATGAAAAATGAGGTGTTAAATCTAGAATCCTTTACATTTTTTTTCGTTGCCCGGGCGGTGTGTTTGGGATCATTGTCATGCTGAAAGACACAGCCACATTTCATCTTCAATGCCCTTGCTGATGGAAGGAGGTTTTCACTCAGAATCTCACGATACATGGCCCCATTCATTCTTTCCTTTACACGGATCAGTCGTCCTGGTCCCTTTGCAGAAAAACAGCCCCAAAGCATGATGTTTCCACCCCCATGCTTCACAGTAGGTATGGTGTTCTTTGGATGCAACTCAGCATTCTTTGTCCTCCAAACACGACGAGTTGAGTTTTTACCAAAAAGTTATATTTTGGTCTCATCTGACCATATGACATTCTCCCAATCCTCTTCTGGATCATCCAAATGCACTCTAGCAAACTTCAGACGGGCCTGGACATGTACTGGCTTAAGCAGGGGGACACGTCTTGCACTGCAGGATTTGAGTCCCTGGCGGCGTAGTGTGTTACTGATGGTAGGCTTTGTTACTTTGGTCCCAGCTCTCTGCAGGTCATTCACTAGGTCCCCCCGTGTGGTTCTGGGATTTTTGCTCACCGTTCTTGTGATCATTTTGACCCCACAGGGTGAGATCTTGCGTGGAGCCCCAGATCGAGGGAGATTATCAGTGGTCTTGTATGTCTTCCATTTCCTAATAATTGCTCCCACAGTTGATTTCTTCAAACCAAGCTGCTTACCTATTGCAGATTCAGTCTTCCCAGCCTGGTGCAGGTCTACAATTTTGTTTCTGGTGTCCTTTGACAGCTCTTTGGTCTTGGCCATAGTGGAGTTTGGAGTGTGACTGTTTGAAGTTGTGGACAGGTGTCTTTTATACTGATAACAAGTTCAAACAGGTGCCATTAATACAGGTAACGAGTGGAGGACAGAGGAGCCTCTTAAAGAAGAAGTTACAGGTCTGTGAGAGCCAGAAATCTTGCTTGTTTGTAGGTGACCAAATACTTATTTTCCACCATAATTTGCAAATAAATTCATTAAAAATCCTACAATGTGATTTTCTGGATTTTTTTTTCTCAATTTGTCTGTCATAGTTGACGTGTACCTATGATGAAAATTACAGGCCTCTCTCATCTTTTTAAGTGGGAGAACTTGCACAATTGGTGGCTGACTAAATACTTTTTTTCCCCACTGTATGCGAGAAAAATGGTCACACTGTAGAGCCCTGCCATGCATTATTATTTAGGCTATTTCATTGATAATTGAATAGGACTAAGTCAATCATCTGCATTTTCAGCAGTTGCTATCGTTTCTTACCTTTGAACAACGTGTGAATGAGTAGGAACATAGCACTCTAATATTTACCCTCAAATAAAAGGCGACATGTACTTTCACATCATATTCATCATCTGATCTCAAAACCAAAATGCTGGAGAATAGAGCCAGTGTTCTACTCTTCACTGTTCAAATACATATGGTGAGGACCAATGTTCCCTCTAAGCTGCATGCGTGCGCAGCTCCCAGGAACTGCCACGCAGAATAAATATCAGCCCACAAAGAGAAGCACGAAATTGAACTATACTCAACTTTCTGGAGTTTTCGGTTAACACTATCAACGTTTTCCTTTACTGTGGCAATTGTGATCAAATTAACGCAATATTAGCCACTTTCAATGCAACATACGGAAACAAAACAAACTACGCAAGAGATTTTGTTGTAGGCAGAACGCATCGCAGTAGGATTCTATTGCATTGACACACAGGACTCAGCAATACTCTACACCAGTGCGGCATAACCAATCAGAGCTTGAGTAGGCCTATATGCATGAATGGATTTGTGCCATTTACTTTTAACTGGACTGTGTTTACAGCTGTGGTTGTGAGTAGATGGGCTTGTTTAGAGATCAAAGCGAGAGCTGCATGTAGCCAAGTGAGCACATCTTTTGCTAGTTAGTGAGTTATTAGCCCAGTTATAGATCATTTGTAGTCAGCAATAGGGGAGTGATTTGCTTCCTACAAGAGCACAAAAGCACAAAATGTGTACATTTCTAGACATCTTTGAAAAGCCAGTCATGTAAAGAGCTTTTTTTTGTCTTAAAGGGGCAGTGTTGTATTTTGAGACAGGCTTGAATAAGCTAAGTACCAGAGGGTAGCATCATTTGTCTGATTCTCTATAATAATGATATGGGAATAATAATACATTTTATTTTGTTAAGTGGTTTTGTGCATCAAACAACACAACAACATTTTCAGTAACCTCCTTGTCTGAAGGAGAAGTGGATAAACAGGTTAATGTCAAGCCCTGCATGTTTTCAAAAGTCTAATGGAATGTAGGGCTATATTGAACACCACACATTGGCTGCTACTGTAGACTGAATCATAGAACAGCTATTTCCATGTTAAAATGTTATGGGATGCATTTTCTCCATTGTTTTTGATGGTAGGCCACTCTGGTAGGCCTACATTATGATAAAAAAGCCACAGTTCCCTACTTGGCCACTGTTAAAACTAACTTAAAGCGGGTACAGACTCAATGTTCACAGTGTTCACAACGTTCAAGTTTGCGCTCAGTGCCCAAAAACATTTGAGGGAACATTGGTGAGGACTGTATTTCTTACACATTGTAATTTTTACCTAAATTGTTCTATATTTACTTCTTTAAAGATTCTGGTGGTCGCTCATTATCCCCTCTGCCTTGTGAGTGGTGTGAGCAAACTGCTGTCCCCTCCAAGTCTGGCCTCTTCTTTGCCTACAACAACAATGATTAACATGAGCACTTTGTGGGTCAGCCTCAAGCAGGTCATTGCCCAAGGAAAGAGGGTAGAGGCGGCAGATGATGAGGGAGACTGTCGACGCCACACGTGAGCACTGCCCCAATTCCAACAAGGCTGTATGCAGTGAAATAGCTAAATCCATTGTAACGCAGTACCCAAAGACTTTTGGAGGCCTGACCGAGGAAGGAGAACTACTTGGCAGTGGGTACCACTCCCTGTTCACTAAGATTAAGACCAGAGTAGAGCATACAAATCGGAACCGCACTTTAAATAGAATCAGTAGACCCAAGAGGAGCAATGAAGAGGAAGGGACATCAGAGGCTGGGGAAAACAACAAGAACCAAGGTCGACAGTTATAGCTGCATCAACTGGCAACCACAGGACCTTCCAGAGAAAGAAACCCCAGACTCCCTGGAAAACAAGAGACAGGCGATGGTGACCATTTTCAGCTGTGTGGGCCCTGCGGTGCAGACAAGAGGGAAGTGGATTACCTGATGAAGCTGACATACACTTATCAATGCCACATGATCAACACTTGTCCTCCTCCAATCATCAGTGACCTCCAGGAACAGTGGCCTTTCCTTTTCACCAAGTTATGACTCTGCCACCACTTCAATACCCTCACTGGCATCGAGATTGACAGTCGCCTGACTCAAGCTCTCCTCAACAAGGGTAAGAAAATTGTGAACTTTTTTAAAAGCCAAAAGACCAAGTGGAGGAGAGAAATCCAGTGCCTGCTGAATGAAATTGACGGTTACATCAGAGGCAATAACGATCTAACAGCCACAGCTGCCATTATTTTGTTGATGACCCACTTCAAAGAGAAGGACGAATCTCTGTTCCTCTTGGCAGATGTAAGGAATAGTGTTTTTATACTTATAAAGTTTATATATGATTAATGGTGTTTATACTGTACTATTACACATGATTTTGTGATTTTAGGTCACTGCAACTCGGGTTGATGTCGAGGCCCAAATTCCTTTGCCAGACACACCAAGGCTGATCATGCTTGGTAATACAACTATTTGATTTAAGGTGGAACAGAAATATATAGTATTGTGGTACCTATCTACAGATATCTAGTAAGTATACACTAACACCCTTACTTTTGTGTATTTCAGGAAATACTCTATTGGGTTCCTCAAAAGGGATGGTGTCGATCGAGGGGAGAGTGGTCTGTGTTTTGGATAGTGAGTCCAACTTTGCTGCTGCCCTCTCTGTGCTCTTCTGTACATTTACAGCAGGGATGCTGTAATATGTTTTACAGTAAGGAAAATAGTACTGTAAACTATATTACAGCATCACTGCTGTAAAGCTAAATAACAGTATTAAACTGGCCACTGTGGTGACAGTATAATGCTGTAAATTTACAGGGAAAAGTTTTACAGTGTAGGCCTACCTGCTTCACAGACGGAATTATGGTCTACTATCCATAGATTTTGTCACCCAATTACTTCAGTCACCATGCACTCCCTAAATATCTCAGTGTCAGTGAAGGGCTTGGTGTGTTCAGTTAAAACCAGGGCTCGAATTGAGGGGGTATGTGAAGATAGTGGCTTTTGTTAAAGAAAATGGGCAAAAGCACAGGCCTTCCCCTTGTGAAAAGAAAATATGGACCTGATTATATGAAGCGATCTATAAAGACGCTTTAGTCCACAATGCGTTATGCTACAGTAGACACAAGCTGTAAAATGCCTGGGAAAGACGTGACTCCAATGCATTTGGGATATCTTTGGTTTGTCTCTATGACATTCAGAAGCTGCGCTATTACTTTGCTTGGGAAGTAATGTGTGATTCTGTCAACATTTCAACAGGCTATTAAAACAACATGCGAAACTCTAAATCAGTCAGGAGCAAGCCAGATAGCCTAAGAAAGTACAAAAATGAATGATTTAGGCTATATTATTATTATTATTATTTCAAGGCTATAGCATGCCATTTAATAAATACATTGTGAAGCATTTGTGACACACTACAGGCTGGCAGGAGCACTCAGCATTTCCACAACACATCAACACTTCAACAGCATGCCTATACATTTCGCATTTAAGCTGTATAATTACTTAGAATAAAATAATAATTAAACAAAATGCCTTATTAGGCTATACAGTCATTCTATAGTGCCTTTGTGTTCACTTTTAGAAACACGAGTTTGGCCAGTCTTTGGTTTGAGCATCATCTGGTGAGCTTTGCATGCCTTGTTTGTCAATTTAGCTTAGCAGATGCTCTTATATTCCCATACCCTAATCACAGTCAACAAAAATCTATTTTGTAAAAACAATATAATGTAATAAAATAGAATACATTTGAAAGTTATAGTTTCCTAAATGAAAATAAGTTACAAGTGCATACCTGATAATATGCGGCTGCTGTGTTAAAAAATGAATGGCTTTTTCACAAATTCATTGATGATCAGAGACTTCAGTTGTAACTGATTCTGTTGTGCTCCATTTTTACAGTTGATAGACAACTTTAGCACTGTTCTAAACTTAGACTATCCTCTTTGTTAACAATAGCTGGAATAGAAATCAAAACGTCTCCGGTGCTGCAGCATACGCTCATTCTTTGTCATGCTCTGTTGTGGTATTTAAAAAGATTATACTTGTCTCCAGTCATGTAAAATGACTTAGAATTACATGAAATGTGTTTATAAAAGGCAAAAAATTTCTCGGACCACAAATAAGATAGATTCATGCAGTGCTTTTGTTATAATGGAGATCTTTTCACCTCCACCCTTGTCCGCAGTGGTCTATGTATCCACAACCTACTGGCTACTTTGCCATGTAATGCTTACAAAACGATGAACAGGAGTGAGGGTAAACGGCATGTTCTCTGCTATCCACTTTATGTTTTAAAACGATGTAGAATTGCATGAAATACATTTAAAAAAGTTATTTTTCCGGATCACAAATAAGATGATAGATTCATGCAGTGCTTTTATTATAATGGAGATATTTTCACCCATACCCTTATCCGTGGTGGTCTGTGAAGCCACAACCTTCTGGGTACTTTGCCATGTAATGCTTACAAAATGACGAACAGGAGTGAGGGTAAACGGCATGTTCTCTGCTATCCACTTAATGTTTTAATTATTATTTTGCATTCAGGGAGGGTCAGATAAAAATGTATTTTACTGAAGGGAGGGCGTTCCATTTTCATTTCAGAGAGGTCCGATTTTCTCCAGGTATCCCTCATTATAAATAACATACAGTCCCTTAGCAACTTCCTTCAAACTGCATGCAAAAAATGGTATCCACAAGTTCATCTGACTATAGATAAAGGGCCTCATTGCCAAAATCTGAAGTGTCCCTTTAAATAATTTACCGGTGCATTTGACATGGAAAGCAACAGTAGGTAAGGAGGGTGGGACTTGACAATGGGTGAATTACTTTCTTAAGCATCAATCATAAAATTGTGAGTATAGTCATTCAGTGCTTGCTGAATTGTGAGCCTATTAAGCTTGGTTGACTTAAAATGGTCATAAGACAACCTCTTATTTCATCATGTAACCTTGCAAGGGTTTCACGGTTGAAGAACATTCTCACTTTTGGATGGGATCCATTGGTGCACTTATTTATTTATCCCAGGAATTAAGGCATCACATCAAGATCTGCCCATCTGCGCAACACTGTCAAAATAACGACGACCTCAAACGTTCCCACAATTTGACAGTGCACAAAGAACTGTGATCAATCCAGACATAAGAGATTGCCACGAAAGAAACAAAGTGTTGTAGAGGAGACAAAAACGTCCACACAGGAGAGAGAAAGGTTTTTTATGCAATGTGTTTTGCTTTTTCCATACAGATATAGTGCTGGACGATTTAGCAAAGGTAGTTAGCTACCTAGCGTTTTCCAGCTAGCGAGCATGGTGTTGGCTAGCTAGCTAACGATAGCTTGCTAGATGGTAAATGCTAGCTAAACTCAGCAAAAAAAGAAACGTCCTTTCACTGTCAACTGCGTTTATTTTCAGCAAACTTAACGTGTAAATACTTGAATGAACATAACAAGATTCAACAACTGAGACATGAACTGAACAAGTTCCACAGACATGTGACTAACATAAATTGAATAATGTGTCCCTGAACAAAGGGGGGGTCAAAATCAAAAGTAACAGTCAGTATCTGGTGTGGCCACCAGCTGCATTAAGTACTTCAGTGGATCTCCTCCTCATGGACTGCACCAGATTTGCCAGGTCTTGCTGTGAGATGTTACCCCACTCTTCCATCAAGGCACCTGCAAGTTCCCGGACATTTCTGGGAGGAATGGCCCTAGCCCTCACCCTCCAATTCAACAGGTCCCAGACGTGCTCAATGGGATTGAGATCCGGGCTCTTCGCTGGCCATGACAGAACACTGACATTCCTGTCTTGCAGGAAATCACGCACAGAACGACCAGTGTGGCTGTGGCATTGTCATGCTGGAGGGTCATGTCAGGATGAGCCTGCAGGAAGGGTACCACATGAGGGAGGAGGATGTCTTCCCTGTTGAGATTGCCTGCAATGACAACAAGCTCAGTCCGATGATGCTGTGACACACAGCCCCAGACCATGATGGACCCTCCACCTCCAAATCGATCCAACTCCAGAGTACAGGCCTTGGTGTAACGCTCATTCCTTCAATGATAAACGCGAATCCGACCATCACCCCTGGTGAGACAAAACCGCGACTCGCCAGTGAAGAGCACTTTTTGCCAGTCCTGTCTGGTCCAACGACAGTGGATTTGTGCCCATAGGCGACGTTGTTGCCGGTGATGTCTGGTGAGGACCTGCCTTACAACAGGCCTACAAGCCCTCAGTCCAGCCTCTCTCAGCCTATTGCAGACAGTCTGAGCACTGATGGAGGGATTGTGCATTCCTGGTGTAACTCGGGCAGCTGTTGTTGCCATCCTGTACCTGTCCCGCAGGTGTGATTTTCGGATGTACCGATCCTGTGCAGGTGTTGTTACACGTGGTCTGCCACTGCGAGGATGATCAGCTGTCCGTCCTGTCTCCCTGTAGCGCTGTCTTAGGTGTCTCACAGTATGGACATTGTAATTTATTGCCCTTGCCGCATCTGCAGTCCTCATGCCTCCTTGCAGCATGCCTAAGGCACGTTCACGCAGATGAGCAGGGACCCTGGGCATCTTTCTTTTGGTGTTTTTCAGAGTCAGTAGAAAGGCCTCTTTAGTGTCCTACATTTTCATAACTGTGACCTTAATTGCCTACCCTCTGTAAGCTGTTAGTGTCTTAACGACCGTTCCACAGGTGCATGTTCATTAATTGTTTATGGTTCATTGAACAAGCATGGGAAACAGTGTTTAAACCCTTTACAATGCAGATCTGTGAAGTTATTTTGAATTTTACGAATTATCTTTGAAAGACAGGGTCCTGAAAAAGGGACGTTTCTTTTTTTGCTGAGTTAGTTATCCAACTAGCTACCTATGCTAAATCGTCCAGCAGAATACTTAAAAACTAGCTAGCTAACTTAGTTAACATCCACAGAATAGACTGTCATGCCTTGACAGCTAGCTAGCTAACTAAAGCTGGCAAATAGCTAGCTAGCTGGGCTCCTTGATCTCGTTCTCTTAGGTGGCTCGTTTCAGCTATTTTTATCTTGTTCTTGATACCATGTCCTGTTTTGAGGGGTTTTGACTGATTTCATGTCAATGCTAATATGGCTAATATTTGCTAGCTAACTAACCAACAACTGTAACGTTCAATTTGAGAGACAACAAGCGCTCATTGTGCAAATGTATTTATGTTTCAATAAACATTGAGACTAAATATAGTTGACGTGTTGTCAACCCCGTCTGTTTTGCCCCATAGTTGCGCATGGGTCGGTTTGTTGCTAAACAACCAACCCGTCTATTCAAATAGTAATTTGGTGTTATTGAGTAGGCCTGTATCTTTGTTTATTCTAAATTATCTAATTATTAATCTAACAATAAAGATTCTTATTATTTTTGAAGAAATGTAGGGTCTTTTTACATGTTGCAATAAAGTTGACTAAAGTAGAAGCTCGTATTTTGTTTGTTTTCACTTGGTAATGATTAGTAAGTAAGTGTATGGTAATTGCTTATAGGTAACTATATATGTAGGTAGCATACTATGTAGGTACACAATAATTACAAGTAAGTACCCAACAAGATACACTTAATTTTAACTAGCTAAATCCTGTGTAACACCTAGTTATTA